GAATTTTATACCTTATACCAAACAGACATTAAATGTCTATCCCAGTTCTTCCTAAACACTAGATTCCTGAGGATAGCAGGATCCAACAAGCACGCCTGGCTGCAAGATGAGATATCAGCTGAGTTTCCTCATTATTGTCTGGGAAGTTCCTATCTCTTAAGAGTCCATTTACAGTTATGACAAGCAGAATGCAAGCTACCCCAAGAGTTCTCAAACCTGTGAAGCCTTGGAACTCCCACACAATTTATGTATCACTGTAAGAGAGCACTCAGCTTTTATTTATACGGTCCTCACCCTTCTCCTTTTCTACAACAACAGGAACAACTCTTTGCTAGACCGCAGCAGGGAAAGTGCCCCACAAGACTAAGAAATGGCTGTTTGAAGCCATTGGAGATCTCATTTATAGAGACTCTACTTCAAGAGAGAAATGCCGTAAATTAGCTCCCATTGTTTTTTATCTAGGCAATGAAATATTGTCTGTCCACTTTTCTATTACAGTGAAATAATTTCCAGACACACTGTTCCAATGGATAAAAAGGTCTAAAATCATAACTGTTGTGCATAAATAAGGCACATAAATTGAATTCAAGTAATTATGCTGAAAAAGAGCACATAAATAAATTGCATTTATGTAATTACACTGAATAGGTTTTCCTTGTTTGTACCTCAAGACATGTTAAGAGAACTTTTCCCGTAAAGTCAGCAATCTAACTTCCCAGTTTATATGTTTGATTGCAATTCTCAATCTGCATTTCTTAATCCATATTTCATAGAACAGAATACATCACAGGACGTACTCAGATTATGTATTAAGCATCTGATGTATCCTACTTCATACAAAAGGGAAGGAAAAAACCTCAAAGCTCCATTTGCAAGATAATCCACTACTAAATCACCACAAAGTCATTAAGAAGTAGCAACCAAAAACACTGAGCCTGACAACTGATGCTCCTCTGCAACTGTTACAGTACAAATTTTGGTATGTAAACACCAGATTTCCCTTTTGTCAGGCAAACAAGACAATCTACGACATACAAAGAAAAGTGAGTTTACAACATTTAATACGTTTCCATATTTGACAAAAAGATTTGCCTCAAAGCCAGTCTTCCAAAGAGTACTCAAGAAAAAACAAGCATATGCCTTGCTAGTTCTTTAGAACCCATTCTGAAGTAGCCCTTTGCCCTACAAGTACAGAAAGTAAGGTGTAGAGGGATTATACCCTCTACACCAGGCATGAGAGGAGAACAGCAGGGAAATAAAGTCAGGACAACAACTTCTGTCCCTCAGTTTCACCTGAAACTCACCAGCTGTAGATGTCCCGGCAACCCAAACAACAGCAAGGTCTGCTCATTGGCACAGAGATCAATTAATGTAAACCTGGCCATGTTCATGCCAGTATCCAAAATAGGGCAGCTGCATTTCAGCTTTCTTTTCAGAACAGTCCTTGGCCTGTGCTAATTGGTAAAGCTGTAGTGAGTATAGACCAAAAGCATGACAAGAACCATCCTAATAATTCAACAGTATAGGTAACCCCCCCCTCAGTCTCAGAAACCTTCCCATTATATATGAAAACAGTGTCAACATCATCTTCATTCTCAGCACGCAGAGCCCACCATGTCTCACTTAATGGGTTCCTGCAGACCACAGGGCTATTTATCTGACCGCTGCAAAAATAAGAAGCAGAAACCACTGAATGTCTTCAAAATTCATTTCTAAGCTACAAAAAGTTAGCATGCAATAATTACAATTTAATGTTACCACCTGATGTCATCACAGGGCTGCGGTTTAAGCCATCTGGATACATTTACTATCTACTTTCATAGTTTACACACACACAAAAAGCTACGAGTTCATTGCGTTCATAATGATTGTTCCTGGAATAACTGCAACAGTCTTATCCATATGCACTCTAATCAAATCCAGCTTAATGCAGCTTCTCCCTGGCAAATATGGGGATGTATGTGCATTCTCAGATGCATGTAAAAACATACATGCTCCGCCGGTCAAGAATAACGCAGAAATAAAGGCTTTTAAAGAAATTAAGAACAAGTACGAAATACAGCAGTGAGCCTCTGATGCTCCTGAATGCCAGCTATTTAAAGCACGACAGATAAGCAGGTGGCATGGAAGAAATTTATAAAAACTCCCCCCATACCAAACAGAACATGAATGTACTGGAAGAAAAACAGTGCCATCTACTGACAACATCGGTTTGACTCACAAATGACATCTCCCGGCAGACTGATTTGTATCGGTTTCTCTGTGCAAAACTACCAGCATCTAAAACTACAGAAAGTGTCCCATGAACCAGATTGTGACACAAAACAAACAAGATGTGAAATTATACACATCTTGTACAGCACTATTCATTTCAAAACCTTGGATGTTTAACTGAGCATCACAAGAGCTGTAAATGACTACCAGAAATTACCTAGTGCCTCTACTTCCAAGGTTTACTTCTGCCATTCATGATATACTTTTGTTCAACCTGTTTTTAGGTACCTCCAGTGAGTATATTTATACCCTTTTCCTACACAGCCTATTCCATTATGTATCTCTGCTTTTAGCAAATTCTGCTAGCACTCAAACCAAACGTTCTTCTCACACGGAAGGTCTGTATTTATAATCTAAAACTCCCATTCTCTCATTCCTTTTCAACAGCCTTTTACACACATGGTTCCCCCTCTTTTCCAGACTTACTTGCCTAACAATACCTATTTGTCAACCATCCCCCATTATCACCATTTACTATCATTTTGTGTCTGCTCTCCTTTAAACTCAATCCAGTTTGCCCACATCATTATCTAAAAGCAAGCCACAAAACTGGACACAATAATCCTGCTTGGCTTTTCTGATAAGAGATGCAAAATTAGTTCATGTATCCTGTGTGCAATGACAGGTTACAAAACTCGTAAAGGCCAGCTAAGGTTCACATCTAGAAAACCTACTACTGCCTCCTTAACTGCACAACTTCTTTTCCAAGGAAGAAGATGTATCAGACTCTTCTGTTCTTGAGAAATTAATCTTGCTACTTATCTCACTAACTTTGCATGCTTAAGTTGCCAAAGCAACTTTTTTTAGGACATCCCCCTCAGCAGCTACTAGCATTTCTGACTTCATTTTGATTCTCTAATTCTTTAAGCTATCCTAGGATAAAGGCTTTAGGATTAAAAAAAAGTCTATGATCATGACAGTAAGGGGAAAAGAAAAATTCGTTCACAAAACGAATTTTACCTATGTATCAAGAAACTGAGCCACAGCTAAAAAAATGTATCATAGATACGCCATTTAAAACTTCTGAAAGTTTAAGTTGGCTACAAAGGTGAAAATGTATTTTCCAATACTGTTACATACACTTTGTCTGTAAAAGACTCACTTTAATCTTGCCAAGAATTTGCAATATTTTCAGATGTGTTTCTAAAGAAGACTGATCAAGTTCCTGTGTTTAACACTGATCCCTCTCAAGGAGGTGGTACAGTGTTATCAAAGTAAAACAACACCTAATCAAGAGTAGTATCTCTTTTCCAAGTTTCATCAGAACTTGCAATCTCCCAGAAAAAGGAGGACTGCTAGGGCTTAGCAATACAAGAAACTGCACTAGTAAAACTGCATTAGTACTTTTTCTTCATCTAGTTATTTCAGGTTGACTTCTTGAGTAGATAATGCACAATCCTTTAATCCAAGTTAGTTTAAAATGTGTTCCAAATGCCATAAATTAGAATACTTTCTTTGTACCTCTGAAAAATAAGAAGTTGCTGCTCCTCCTCTGTTGTCAGGATGTAACAGACTTTTGTTACGAACACTGCTCTCCAGCTGCCTCTTGCATCTTCTGCCAAAAAGATCAAATGCCTACAACCCACCTGCAGCTTTCTCACAATCTTTAGAAAACAGTTATGCTATTACTATAAAAGCCTCCCACACTGAAAATCTGCTAAGATCTAACAACAAAATAAGTTCCTGAATGCTTCTTACTGACTTCAGTTCTCACAATGATTGTCTTTGACTTGGGTATGGTTTGCCGCTGAATTTCCAGTATATGGCAGAAAACTTCTCTTTCTTAAAAATAAAATTTGAGATCCATCTTCCCCAAACTAGACAGAATTTCATTTTTGTAGTGGTATTGCATTATATATAGGACATTATAAATTTCCATCACCATCACTTCGTATGTTAACCATCTTACTCAGACATTATACAGCTAATATGTCTATATACACGATATATACTATACAGCAAATACAGGTCTGTCTTTGACAGTACATTGTGTTGCATCCTATTTTCATAAAAAATTAAGTTCCAAAAAATCTTAAGAAAAAATATCAATTTAAGCATAATCCATATAAGATTAATCCCTACTTATTTATCCAAGGTTCAACAATATCAAGCAATGGAGAAAATCATGTATACTTCTTCCAGGAGCAGCAAAGCAAAACACTCTTGTGAAATCCCAGCAAGCCTTCCACTCGTTTCAGTGAACAGCAACATCTTGCCCTGATTTCAGATGAAAACTTATGCTCTTTCAAGCCAGGACAAAACCAACAAGGGCAAGAATAATTTCTAGCAAGACACTTGCCTAGCAACTATGATATGGCTGTTTAAGTGCAGTAATTAGGGTTGGACAGGGCTTTGAACAACCTGGTCTAGAGGTAGGTGTCCCTGCCCATGGCAGGGGGGTTGGAACTAAATGACCTTAAGGTCCTTTCCAACCCAAACCGTTCTGTGGTTCTATTAATTATAGGAAAAGCGAGTTTTAGAAATGTGAAAGCAAGCAGAACGTGAGAATACACACGGGTTGGTTATTTTTCACTATCAACAGTGCCACATCAAAGTATTTACAAGAAAAGGCTGCAGTCAGTAGCAGCTGAAAGACCACCAGTGATGACCAGAGGGTGCTCAATACCGTGTAGCCTTCCAGATAACTGATAGGATTTTATTAACAGGGCAGGGAGGGGGTGTTGGCCGGGTTATTTTGCAGCGCAAACCGCAGAGCGTCGCCGTACCTCATGCGCAGGATCCCGATGAGCGTGGCGGCCAGTTCGGAGGACATCCTGCCCATGATGCAGC